GGAAGGTTTTCTCCAGGATATGTAGCAAAAGTGTGCACTGGAACTCTGGTTCCCATCCCAAGGTTCCTTTATATCCTCCATGGAAAAGATGACTTCCCCTAGGTATAACAGTATCACAGTATGCATGCCCATACTCAGGACCCAGTAGAGCTCATGTGCCTCATGAAAATTAGGAGGCAAACCTGGAAAGTGTGAGACGCCAAAAGGTCTCTCTGAGCCAGGGGTCCTCAAACTTTTTGAACAGGGGCCAGTTCGCTGTCCTTCAGACCTTTGGAGGGCCGGACTGCGGGCTCTGGGATGAATTGGCTGCTAAGCAGGACAGGTAGCAGTGGCAAAAACACTCGGTGGGTTGGATAAATGTTCTCTGCGGGCCATAGTTTGAGGATGCCTGCTCTGAGCAAACAGTGTTGTGTGTTTTACTCTAGCAATCCGTGCAGCAGAGGCAGGAAGTGGCTCAGTGTCCAGCAGGTGGATAAAGGGGATCTGTGCAGTTGTGTGGATTTGCGAGGCTCAGTCAACTTGGGTCTTACATGTAATTTCCGCCATCCAAATGATGTTTAGAGATGTAGGGGATAGGGCTCTCTTGACCTCCCAACGAGGGGGATTCAAGTACAGCATTTTGTTTACCATAAATTAAGTTGGTTCAATTTGAGTTCTGTCTACAACCCTGTGTAGTGGGGAAATAACTTGGGCTAACAAGTGGAGCCATTTACATCACAGAGATAAAGCAACTGGGAGGAGGCTTTTCATTTAAAACCAGTTATTGTGTTGTCTGGATGGCCATAATGTCATCCGTATGGTTGAAAATAGAACTAGGACATACCACTGCCAGTCCCTGGTACAGGGTGTTTTTTCTCTGTGTAATGAGAAAAAGGAAGCATAGAATGCAGGATAATGACCCTCAGATAAACTCCACAGTGAGAGAATAACTGATCTGTGCTTTCAGCCTGAGAATACTGATTACTGCTCTCATCTGTTACGGAGTAACGCCCACCATCCCGCATCATTAGGGCGCGCTCTCTCTCGCTCTCTCTACCTGGTAGAGGGAGTGACATTTTTAAACATGAAAACATATTAATACAGATTATTTTTTAAAAATTTAAACTGTTAGCCTAATTTAAAAGATATCTCTTATTCCCTCTGCTTCCTTAAATAACACTACGGAAGATTTAGCATTTTCTTGAAGATTAGAATGTGGCCTGTCTCTCATCTGCCATTGACTTCAGACTCCTACTTGAAAGTTTTTTTTTCCCTCCCCCACAGTCTTCAAATAGTGCAGTTGTTTTGTTTTCAGAAATAATCTCAGAGATTCTGTCCAGTACAGTATACCCTTGAGCCATGTACGGCTTTTGAGTATTTGAAATCTAGCTAATGTGACTAAGAAACTGAAGTTGTACCTTTTTTTGAGACATAGTTGTGGAGTGCTATGGTATCACAGCTCACAGCAACCTCAAACTCTTGGGCTTAAGCAGTTCTCTTGCCTCAGCCTCTCAAGTCGCTGGGACTACAGGTGCCCGCCACAACACCCGGCTATTTTTCTTTTTTTTTCAGTTGTCACTGTTTGTTGTTTTTTTTTTTTTTTTGAGCTGGTCCAGGCCAGGTTCAGACTCTCCAGCTTTGGTGTATATGGCCAGTGCCCTATCCACAGAGCTACAGGTGCTGCCCTAGACACTAGATTTTGATGACAATATAGAAAAAAAAGTATAAAATATCTCATTAATTTTTGAGGTATTTAATACTTTTGAGATATTTAATCATTTTGAGTAATGATTAAGTGTTAAAGTGCTAATATTTTAGATATATTTGGTTAAATAAAATACATTATTAAAATTAGTTTATTCCTTTATGCTTTTTTAAATGTGGCTACTATAGAGTCTGAAATTGTATATGAAGCCCTCCCTGAATTTCTCTGGCTGGGTTTCTCAGCCTTGGCACTGTTGACATTCAGGGCTGGATAATTCTTTGCTGTGGGGCTGCCTCATGCCCCATAGGATGTTCAGCAGCATCCCTGACATAGCTGGTTGGACTGGCTTCCTAACTGGTTTGAGCACGCTTTGCCTTGCCCTGATTGACAGGATCCTCCAGCCTCTAGAATCTTCCATGCTCTGAAATGCTTCCTTAAAATCTTTCAACTCGCATTTTTAGAACTAGTTGTAAGACAGGTCTTTGTATTAGCCATCCAAATATAAACTGTCCCCAACAGTGCTAGACCCACTTTCTTTTTCTTTTCTTTTTTTTTTTCCCTTTTGACAGAATCTCACTTTGTTGCCCTTAGTAGAGTGCTGTGCTGTTATCGCTCACAGCAACCTCAAACTCTTGGGCTCAAGCAATCGTCTTGCCTCAGCCTCCCACGTAGCTGAGACTATAGGTGCCCACCACAGTGCCCAGCTATTTTTAGAAATGGGGTCTCACTCTTGCTCCGGCTGGTCTCAAACTCCTAAGCTCAAGCAATCCATTGCCTTGGCCCCTCAGAGTGCTGGGATTACAGGCATGAGCGACTGCGCCTGGCTAAGTCCTACTTTCTTGAGCCCACATAGGGCATTTGAGTATTTGAAATCTAGCTAATGTGACTAAGAAACTGAAGTTGTACTTTTTTTTTTTTAATGAATGAAATAGTGTCTCTTAATAGGTCTTATGAATTCCAGAGTTCATTCAACAAATACTTAAACTCCTGCTCTACTTAACCATTGTCCTAGGCAGCAGGGCTTTAGCAGTAGATAAAACTTGAGTTCCCGTGGGGTTTACATCCCATTTGGAGGGATGTGATCAACAGATAAGCAGGAAACTGTCATATGTTGCCATGGAGAAAAATGCAGTAGGCAGAGGGCACAGCACTGGGGACCCTGGGGCTGCGGTTATTCCTCCTCCTCTCCCAGGCTCGCTTTCTAGTGCTCCCGGACCTCTGGGCTGAGAGACCTCTGTGGAGGCCGCTGTTCCCAGACTCTAGCTTTTGTTTCCCTGGTCTTCACACTTCCCTCTCTGTTGCTTTTGGGAGGTGTTTTCCAGACATCTTCACCTCGCCCGTGACAGTCCTCCCAAGTGGGGTGTTCAGATTCCTTTCAAAAGTGGCACCCGGATCTGAATCGCAGTTCAGCTTGCCCTTGGGGATGCTGTAGCTGCTGCCCTCTGTTCTGGCAGTCTGCAGTGACACCTGTCTTTCTGGCATCTTGTCACACTAAGGACTTAGACTGTGGTCGCCAACCCCATGGTTGTTTACTGAAGCTCAGCTTCTGCAAGTTGCTCGTCTTGCAGGCTGTCGTGTTTCCTGCTGCTTCTGGTCTGATCAGCTCCTTATTGCACAGTATGGTCCCTGTGCATTTGAGGAGGGAGCTTGGGTCTGCAACTCCTGGACAAGGACTCGTGACGGCTGATTGCCTTTCAGAATCCTGTCACCTCTGGTTTCTGGTTGTGTGCAGAATCAGTAATTAATGTTGTACATACTCTGGCCTTCTCATAAATGAGTAATTATTACATTTCATAAAACATCACAGAAGTTTTTTGCAAGTGAGTATAGGAAATTCTAGGATAATTTCCAAACTAAGAATAATTGCAAAACTCAGATATCGCCCATCTTCTGCCTCCAGTATATGTGGTACTTGTTGCTTTTCTTGGCTTTCTGTGATCCTTGCCTTTAGTGGGAATCGTAGTGCACAGTATCTATACAATCCCTACACGCATTTGTCGGGAGGGGAGTGACAGCCCTCATTCACTCTTCTCAGAGCGTATTTCAGGTTTACAACTTCCTAGCTCTGTTACGTTTTGAATGGACCTTTCCACAGACAGGAAATGGAACACTTAATTATATACATCTCTAAACGTATTATACATGGAAATGGTAGATAATGGCACAGATTCTTATCCTTGGTATCTGATATTTGTACCATCGAGATTGATAGTCTTGGGGGAATGTGACTGAAGTATCATCTGTGGCCACTTTCTCAGCAGTTGTTAGATGACAGACCTGCCTAATGAGCAGTATGTGTTCCTAAAAAGAGAAAGAAGCCAGAGGAGTTCCACCACGGAGGGTTGTGAAAGTAATATTATTTATTCAAAAGCTTAAACTTTTATCCAATTCTACAACTGAAATTAATTTGGAGGTTCTTTAGAAGATAATTTGTTTTTTTTGCAGTTTTTGGTGTGGGCTGGGTTTGAACCTGCCACCTCCAGCGTGGGGGGCCAGCACCCTACTCCTTTGAGCCACAGGTGCCACCCCTAGAAGATAATTTTAAGTTTAGTATTTTCTTTAGTGTTTTAGTTACACAGATATATTTCAGATGGCAACTGGAAAACTTTATAACAATGTTTTAGAATGTTGGTCTTGGTAGTTCTTACCCACCCCGTACCCCCCATGGTGCTGCTGCTCTGATGTGTGGAAGTGGGGTCAGCTCCCTGCCTCCCAGCCTGGCTCTGATGAACTGCTTACCCCAGCCATGGACCTTCTGCTTTGAAGATACTCTTTCTGTAGAGGTTAATTTGTAAGAGGTTTTCCATTGCTAAATTTTGTTCACTGCCAGTGTCCTTGGGGAAGTATGATTATGATGCAGGGCCTGAGCTTTACTTTAGCTTTTATAGTTTGTTTGCATTTTCTCGTTTAATTTTAAAAAATGCTTTAGGCTTATCAATTATTTAGCAGCTAGAGAATGATAATTTATTAAGTGCCAGAATATGGTACTTGTGCCTTAAATCAAACAATACAGTCAGATGAGCCAGCATGTGAGAGGATGGTGTATCTCTGAAGTGGTCTGACAGCTGGGCCCGAGACTGAGGATTCGGATTAGAACAGTACTGAAGACAGACGGCCACTTGATTTGCTACAAAAACTTGTCAGAGGCTAAAATAGCAACAAACAGGTGCAATCCCAGGTAGTCTGTTTGTCCAGTGATGATGCACATCTTTAAAGTGTCTCTATAGCTGCAGCTCTCATCTTAATGACACTATTGTCCTTCCCAATGTCAATGACATCGAAATGAACTTTTTTTTTTCCCTTTTATTTTTTTCAGGACAAGCTTGCCCTCTCCTATGTTTTCCAGAAATGACTTCAGCATCTGGAGCATCCTCAGAAAATGTATTGGAATGGTAAATTAGCTCTCAGTTTGATCATATGGCATGAAGCAGATATGTTTAATTGCATATACCTTTGGAAGGGAATCCTAGACATTTTTATAAAAAATGATGCACAACAATGTTTATGGAACCCAGTGAGAATCACAGATTGTGGAAAGTCTTAGGTTTTTCTGACAAGAATTTGAACCACTCTTTATGCCATCTAATATGACTTTAATGTGATTTTTCATTTTAAGAAAGTACAGACAGAAAATGCTCTTTTTCTGTCATCATATCACATTTGTATTGCCCCTAAATTCACCTAGAAATTCTCTGAGAAAGAACAGAGCTCCTCCCCCCTTCAATATAGAATATAATTTCACTTACACTTCTGTGCACAGAGCAAGGTTTTTTATTTTTAATTTGTAAGGGTGGTGTGTTAAATATTTGGAATATGTCTCTGCCTAGTTATCTGTGAAGGTTGCTCTGATTTGGGGGGGAGGTGGAGATGAGTAAAGTTCTCATAACTCTTCCTAGCATGACATTGAATACTAAGAATGATGAGAATTTAAAAACATGTGAGTCCTGGGTGGCACCTTAGGTAAGGTGCCGGCCACATACCCTGAGGCCGGCGGGTTCAAGCCCGGCCCTGGCCAGCTAAAACAACTGCAACAACAACAACAAAAAAGGAGCCAGGCATTGTGGTGGGTGCCTGTAGTCCCAGCTACTTGGGAGGCTGAGGCAAGAGAATCACTTAAGCCCAAGAGTTGAAGATTGCTATGAGCTGTGATGCCATGGCACTCTACCCAGGGCAACAGCTTGAGACTCTGTCATAAAATAAAAATAAAATAAAATAGTCCTGAGATGCCAAAGAATCTGCCTGAACACTACCTTTTAAATTATGCCATTTTGTGTACAACCTGGAAGAACCTACAGAATTTTCCCCACAGTAGGAAACAAGCCACCCTCTAAATATTACATTCTAATGCCTGAAATCCTGACCGCTGCTGATGGGCAGTTTTCTGATGTCTCTATTCTCTGAGTGGGGTAATGCAATCTGAGACTTCCCACATGTAATTTCCAAGGAGCCAATCCTGCAAAATTAATTTTAAACAAATATTTTTTGAATCTTACATGGAGAGAAATTCATGTAAGCTTTGTAGCCTGATAATGTGGGATGTAATCTCAGCTCTGCCACTTCCGTGATTTGTACCTTACAGGTATATTGAAAAATAAATAATTTATGTAATATGTCTAGAATATGACTGGTTTAGCATAGCACTCAATAAAAAATAGTTCTTTTCTTCAGTGGCTTAATCACAACCGAGCATGAGAAGACATGGGCTCTAATGCTATTTTAGTTAAGTTGGGACTCATCAGGACAAGGCAGATGTATGTCAACAGATACTTACATTCTTAAATAAGATTGTAATACATATTAGTCTCTTTGGAACAGAAAAATTCTAAGACATAAACTTGATATTTATTTATATTCTACAGTCAGGATTTTTCAGTCCCATGGTAATATATTTACCATGGTGATCCAGTGTGCAAATATAGTGTAGGTGCATCTTCTTTTTTTTTTTTTAGATTCATAAAGCAATGTGCATGTTCTTAAAATTAAAACCAGTTTTACAAAAGAATATGTATCATCATTACAAATATTTTCTGTTACGTTAAATTAATGATGGTTCTCATTAAATTGATTTCACAACTCATTACTGAACCAAACTCACAATTTGAAAAATACCGTTCTGTAGTATTATAGAATCGATTCCACGTCTTTAGGTGGCTATTTGGTCAAAAGAGTTTGTAGGAAAACTTCAGATGTGTTTTAGTCTTTTTGCTCCCTATGAAAATATAGTTTTGTGTATTTCTTTTCCCGCGTGTATTTCTTTTCTGCCTCCTGCCCTCTTCTGTTTCACTGGGGTTCAGCTGTACTGGTGGGGCCAGGAACTTGGTTGTGCAGGTGATGGATGGACTAGTTTATGTCTAAAGCAAGCATTCTGTCTAAATTGAGACAGATTTGTCTCTTAAAGGAGGGGAAATAATGTTATGTTGGATCATACCTGTCATACTTTGAAAGATACTGTACTTTCTAGAATGTGGTTGTATTTTTAGGTACAAGACTACTCGTTCAAGTAAACACCCTGAATCATAAAATAAAGCAAATAAAAACAGCAATCTGGGTTAAAAGGGCTGCATGGGATGTTTTGAAACTCAATCTGTAGCACTTACTGACTGAGAGCATAGAGAGCTACAGGAGAAGTATTATTTTTGGAAACCTCTCTCTGTGAGGTTTATAAGAGACTGTGTTCTAGAGCATTTTTATTAATGTGGATTGAAAGGAAATCACCTGACATTTGGAAGTGTTCTTTTTTTGGGCACCTCTGTTGAAAGACGTCCTCTTTCAAGTCTTTAAGGCAGCAGAAACAGTCGGTCAAAAGGGGTAAGTACCGAGTAACACCAAAGATTAAAAATAAGGCATCTCAAGAGAGAAATACAAATGGCATCACAAGAGAACATTTAAGAATTTTTTTTTGTAGCAGCTTCTCCGATATCTGCCAGTGTCCTCCCCCCAAAAGCAAATAATTCAAACTTAGAAAATAGTGGTATCCTTAGGTTTTAATACACTTAACTCACAGTGAAGGCATTTAAAAAAAAATCCCCCATCGCATGTTCCCAATTCTATTGAAGTAATCCAAATGTTTTACTTCAGGTCCTTTTCATGGGGTGGGGTCAGTCTCAGGTATAGAAGCCACATGAGTATATCTGTCAATGTCATCTCTTCCCGTAGCTTCACCTACCTGGTTTCTTAATTTGATAATAAGTCTTAAAAGTAACAGGGGATATTTGATTTTGAACCACAGCCATTACTGGTGTGTCTGCTATTTTCAGCAGTGTGCCAGGTGCGAGTGTCCTGCAGGCCCCCACACTGAACTGAGTTTCCATCCCGCCGTTTTCTAAAACAATTAATACCCCTAATTTATAATATGATATAGTTTTATAATGCTATAGTTTTATGGTATAGGGCCATCATTCAAAATACACGGCTCTTACAAACTCAGAATAGATGCTTATCTGCCGGGTATGATCTTGGTCTAATTTTGTTGTAAATGGGGAGGAAGGTCAGTTTTGTGAGGCATTTGTCAACCTGGACCCCAGTGCCTGCCCCTGTCCCCCCACTTCCATGTGCTTCACTTTTTTCTAAAAAGTATATAGAGACTTCGATTTCCTAAACTAACGACATCCTTCTTTTCTTCTCCCAATCTGTTTTGAACAAGATTACATTACCAAAATGGATCATACATCATGAAATGAATACTTTATGTAACTGGAATTCAATCCTAAATCTCTTTGTGACTAAAGCTTTTACCAAACAAACTTCAGTCCTCAGAAGTAATCCTGAGCGGCGTGGTCATTGGCAGCCTGGGCTCCTGACTTTCTCACTCCCTTGCCCTTTTGTTGCAGCACCCGGGGGAGTAAGGGAACATTTCCTTAGCCCTGTTGTCCTACGTGTCCCTGTGTCCTCCCCCCCTTCTCTCCTGCCCCTTTGTTCCCAAGGCTTTCTCAGCAGGGTTCACCCACAGGTACCAACCGAGGAAGTAGCACTGGGACCCAGGCACTGTCACGCAGGGTCATGTAGGCACCATCCCTGTGTGTTCAGATATCTTGGGGTCACAGAATCTTAGTGCTGGATTATGGGAAGAGGTGACAGAGGTCTAGTAGGTGATGATTATTGATTTTTTTAAAGCAAAGGTGTTGTGGTGCTCTTTTAAAGGTATGGTGGAATCTAAATACCAAAAGATTGGATGGTCGCTATCATTCCATTGAAGAAGAAATACATGAGCAAGTTGTTTTATTTATTTTGTTTGTTTGTTTTTGAGACAGAGTCTGACTATGTTGCCCTCAGTAGAGCGCTGTGGTGTCATAGCAACCTCCAACTCTTAGGCTTAAGCAATTCTCTTGCCTCAGCCTCCCAAGTAGCTGGTGACTGGGACTACAGGCTCCTGCCACAGTGCTCAGCTATTTTTTGGTTGCAGTTGTTTAGCTGGCCCAGGCTGGGTTCAAACCCGCCACCCACCAAGTATGTGGCTGGCATTGTACCCACTGTGCTACGAGCGCTGAGCAGTGAGTTGTTTTTTAATAGTTGAAATTTTCTCCTTTATGCTTGTATTTTCTCCTGTAATTTGTATTTCCATCTCATATTTTCTATAGACAAATATTCTGACTTTAATGTTTTTATCTTTTATTGAAAGTGTTTTGTTGATTACCTTACTAGACTTCACTGTCACAAGAATATGCCTTGCAGTTAAAATTTAAAAATATATATTCCATGACCTTAAGGCTTTAGTACTAAAAGTTTCTTTGCATCAAGTTACTTATAAATATTAATATGTGAGGGATTAAAATTGTACATACAGGATGTCCGTATAGTTTGTGTGCAGTTATTAAAATAGTCAAAGTTGTCAATTGTTGTTGACTATTTTAATAATTGCATACAAAGTATTGCATGCAATTGTCCATAATTGCATGTATAGACACCCTTTATTATAAAATTTATGAAAATATTAACATAAAAGGTAAAAAGTTATTAGTGAAAAGAATTTTTTAATTGAGTTTAAATATCTGAGGATGAATATCAATAAGATAGGATTTTCAGTAACAATTATGTTTTTATTTTTAAGTAGACACGGGGAGTGAGCAGCTTTGCTCATGTTAATAGACAGATGGGAATAGGAGCTTTGGGGAGTTTTAAAAAACATCTAGAAGTGTCATTCATTTCTTTGACCTCTTCCCGACTATCTGCCAAAAATCAGATTATATTATCAAAAATAGTATAGTCTAAAAGCTGACAAAAGCATTAGGACTTCCTCCATTGTACTCACTGGCTTCTGTCCTCTGGGAAATGTTCCAGGTAAGCTTTACCTGAGCTCTCGTCTCCAGTCACACAACTGATGTTTTTTCACTTCATGTGCCTTGCAATATTGAGAAGAGCTTGAGAAACTGCAGTATTTTTCACTGAGGTACAC